AAAAAAAAAAAAAAACCTTTATGGTCTTTACAACCAAACTGCCAGCAATAATTAAAATAATAACAACGCCAACATAAATTATGTTTTCATTGTTGTATTCTATTAGATGTTTATTGAGTGTTGTGATAAAATCCCATTAAAACAATTAAAAATAGTATCTACATATCAGGTATTGGACACAAAATAAGACAAAAATAATCAGTAGTGGTCATAAAAAACAATTCTCCAAATACAACATTATATCTTTAGTCCACCTGTAATGCCAGGATGTAGATGTTGTGTCCAACTTCCCGTGGTGAAACTTCTCCCTCCTCATTTTCAGTCTCTTGCTGGTAAGCTTTTTTTATCACCTCCACCTGAAGACACACGATACAGTACCCAGTAATGTTAAAATACTATTGTTACACATAGTACACAAGACACAGCGAAACTGACCAGTTCCCGGGGTCGAAGGTTAAACAGGATCCTCTCTGCATTCTCACTGTCATGACGACTCTCCATCAAACCGAGCAAGAGCTTAGAGGCGTTGTCCTGACAATAGTCACACGTTGTTATAAATAATGATGAACATGATTGATTTATGATTAAAGTAGAGCTTCTGTGTTTGTGTCAGAACTGTATCCTTACCTTGAGCTGCAGCACCAGCTCCATACGGTAACGACAGAGAGGACTGATGTCATTCAGAATCAAGGCTGTGATGATGTCAATGCCGTTGCACTCATGAGAGACAATGCATGTCTTGAGACAGACAAAAATCGATTAGAATTTCATGAATTACATTTTTTACCAAACAAAAAAAAAACTAGATATGCCAGTTGATTTGTCTCTGTCAGCAAAAATCATTTCAAAAGGAAACACTTTGTTTTTATAATAAACTTGTGTGCTTTATAATAATTGGCAAGCGAAGCTCTTTCTGAATCTGGCATTTTCTGATTCTCTATTTCTGAATCCCCTAAGGATTCATTTAGTACTTAAAGTAAATTCTCAGCCATAGATAAAAAGCATCTATGTCCACAAATTATTTATTTAAAATAATACCAGTATTAGTAATTGATAATCTCACCTGGTTCTCCTGGCATGGTCCTTGGCAGTACTCTGTGAGGGTCTCCAGGGTCTGTGTGATCAGCTCCACGTTGTTCTCATTGATGTAAAGGCCCAGCAGACCAAGCCCTCCTGTCGTGCTGCCGCACATGATGTCCAGAAACTGGAGCGTCTCACAAACCAAGTTATAATTTGTTTTATTGCTCTGAGAGCGAAGAAAATTCTATGGCAAAGAACATGGAATTTATTAAATGAACAGACAATAACATGATAAATATGACAATAAATGATCATTTTGTTCAATTTCTCAGAAGAGAAGACTTCATATCTTCAACTTGCATCTCCAAGAAATGTATCTTGATTTAAGACTTTTTAGATATTTGTATTGGAAAACAAGACAAAAATACTGAGGAAGACTTTTTGCTCTTTTTAAGAAACCCTGATCATTCTCAAAGCATGCTAGATGACATGCATCATAGCTGATCCTAAGCGGATTGTTAATCTGGGGTTGTTCAGACCTGAAGATCCTGATTGTGGTTCTCACAGAGCAGCTGTAAGAAGCGCAAAATAGGTTTCATAATGGTGACAGAGGGGCCCATTTCTGTATCTACTTCCTGCTGCTCAGGTTGAGGTGGCTGCTCAGGTTGGCCAAAGGAAGGCCCTGCACCGATAGGAAACCATTGTCAGAGTCAGCAATGGATGTAGATTCAACG